CAAGAAAAAATATTGACAAGGTTGATAGTGTTAACTTTCTTAGGTGTGGCAATATGGTCACTTATGAGGTTGTTCTTTTTGTAATGTTTTATTTTTTTAAATTTTATTTTATATGTATGGGTGTATTGCTTGCATGTAGATAAGTGCACCTGTGTCATGCAATGCCCGAGGAAGACAGAAGAGGCTGTCGGATCCCCTGGAACTGGAGTTACAGACAGTTGTTAGCTGCCATGTGGGTGCTGGGATTCAAACCTGGGTCCTCTGCAAGAACAGTCAGTATTCTTAATTGCTGAGCCATCTCTCCAGGCCCACACACAATTTAAAAAGGACTTGGGCCCATTGTGGTAGTGCACGCCTTTAATCCCAGGACTCGGGAAGCAGAGGTAGGCAGATCTCTGTGGGTTTGAAGCCAGCCTGGTCTACATAGTGAGTTCCAGGCCAGACAGGGCTACGTAGTGAGACTCTGTCTCAAAAATAAATTAATTAATAAACAAATAAATAAATAAGGACTGGGATGTGATTCGGTTGTTAAGTGCTTACCTAGTATGCATGAAGTACTAGACTCCATCCCTAGCACCGTGTTAAACTGGACCTAGTGGTGCATGCCTGTGATCCCAGCACCTGAGTTGGAGGTGGGAGGGTCAGAAGTTCGCAGTCATCCTTGGCTACAGAGTTGTAGCTAACTAATTAACTAACTAAAAATAATAAAAGAGAACAAAGCCACTCTCCCGTGGCTTCCACTGCTCTTGGTGTCCCGTCACTACTCATCTGCCGTCTGCTCCGTAGTGCTGAGTCGTAGCACATTCTCTCCCCTCTCCAGGAGTGCTTCTTCCTCTCTGCAGCTCTCTAAGCTTGATCCTCTGTGTATTTTTCTCCAATTGCTTAGGAAAAGTCACTAAAAGCAGTCAGTCTTGTGTGACAGACCTATTGCAGGTCAGCGTTTTCAATCGGTGTCTCCTCCAAGTTGAAAACAGCCCTCTGAGTAACAGGACCCCTTTGCTGATGGCACCAGCCTCCTCTACAACTCTTCTCCCGTGCTGGCTCCTGTGACTCTGACAACCTCCCTCCCCCAGCAGCCAGACACCTGTCACTCTGGGGACCAAAGGCTAAGAAAAGTGCCATCACCCTCGGGTTCTGTACTTCCCCGTGCTCTGGGCTGGATCCTGGTGGCGTTGAGTGCCCTGGATGCAGCTTTGCACTGGGTTTGAATCACAGACCGGATGAGAGAAGGGAGGTTGGTGGGACCCCACTGGTCCATGGTTACAAAGGTGGCTCAGCGTAGAGCTGAGACCCACACAGGTGGTCCTTCTCCTGAGCCCACTTTGAGACAGAATCTCACTATGTAGTCAGGTTGGCCTAAAACTCAGTCCTTCGGCTCCACCTCTCGAGTGCTAGGATGATACTAGGGCGACACGTTTGTGTTACCATACCTGTCTGAACACTTGCTTTTAACGACCCTTCCGCCTCTCAGTGAATGAAAGGATGAATGATCTGTTTCAGGCTTTCTTTTTCAGAAATACAGCTGTCCTCTGGGAAATCCATGTGTGCCATCACTGACTGGGTGAATCTGGTTATGACGTGACTTTTGTGATCAGAGAAGAGGAACCAGGAGGAGGAGACGGGAGGGGGGAGTAGGGAGGAAAAGAACAACTCTAAAAGTTCCTGGTGTGCAGGATGCAGGGTGTCTGAGGAGGTGTTCCTCCTCCTGAAGCAGCCCCTGAGCACTGACACCTGGAAAGTAGGAATGCCTCTGGGCTCAGGTCCCAACGCTGACCTTCAGCTGGCTCAGAGTCTGAGGAGGGCCCCCTGGGCTGTGGTTTGATTGAGGACACAGTTTCGCAAAAGTGGACAGCGTTGCCCCAACCCATGTCTCCTGGCCTGAGTCATGCTTCCGAAAGGGAGGAGGGAGAGAGCAAGAGCCCGGAGCCCCTCGGATGTCACGCTGGCCGAGGCCTCCGGCATAACGTGGCTGAAGTCACCACCGCATGAGCTCAGGCTGAGGCACCTGGGGATAGGGTAAGATGTGAGAGAGGGCTGAGGCTGGCTCGGGGAGCCCAAGCCCAGTGGGTTCTCACTTCCTTGGCTCCCCCAAGGACATGCCCTGACTTTCCAGTCTGTGTTCGCTGTCTACCTGGTCTGGTGTGTGTGGAGCAGTGGACACAAATGCAGCCTCCAGCCGGGATAAGATGTTATTCAGAAACACAAGGTCATGCTGCTCCCTTGAAACAGGAGACAGGCCTTGGCACCGTCAGGCTCGGCTGTCTGGGTTTTGGGTTGTCCACTGTGGGAGTGTGGACAAGGGACATACTGGGTCTGTGTCCAGGTCCTTTCCTAGCCCTGCTCTGATTCTTTGATTCTTTCCTACCTGCCCCCTTACTGCAGTTCTGAGAGCTCAGAATAGAAACCCTGGGTGAAGACAGAGCGTCCAGCTGGGCCCAGCAAGGAGACCAACCCAACAGGTCTCTAATACCCCATGATGGCCATCAGGCACTTCTCAGCCACTCCTCTGAACCTCAACTGCCTCATCTCTAAAGCGTAGGTAGGGTTGGGGTATGGCTGGGGTGTGTGGCTCAGTTGGTAGAGTGCTTGCCTAGTCTACATAAGGCCCTGGTACCATCCCAGCACCCTATAAACCAGGCATGGTGGTTCATGCCTGTAATCCCAGGGCTCAGGAAGTAAAAACAGGAGGATCAGGTGTTCAAAGCCATCCGTGGCTGTGGCAGCAAGTTCAAGGCTACTCTGGGGTACATGAAACCTCACCTGAAACAAATAAAACCCTAAGCTTGGGTACAAAAGGGTCTACAAGACACACACAGCACCAGACACCAAGCCTGCAGGGCTATCTGTTTCTCTCCTCATTACGTGTGTAACAGTTATTACTACTGTTTACAAGGCCCACTCGTGGTCCTATGGCCAGCACACACGCTATCTCTTGGCTCCACTGCCCAGGAAGCAAAGCCTGTTGTCCCGCCCAGTGTTTTGCTGGGCCAGGAGTTCCCTCCGCCAGCTCAGTCTCTCCATCTGGCCCCCTCTTTTCTGACTGCTTGCTACCAGCATGCTTACAGTGTGACGCATGCACCAGCAGCAGCTCATGTGGCCTGGAGAAGTGCCTGGTCCCAAGTACAACTCAGGCTCGCAGGCAGCCAGGGGCTTGGCCAGTCCGAACTGCACCTTCTGTGCCGGGGAGCAGCAGGCTTTCGAGGCAAGGGGCTGGCAGGGGGGTGGAAGACATGGAGAAACAGGGGGCGTGCACATAAAATGTCTTCAAACCCAAGGGTACCCGGGGACAAGTGAGAGCTCAAACGATAGATATGGACAGGACCCTGTGAGACACCTCTGGTTCATGGCAATTCAGGGTTTTGCTGCTGTAGTTGGGGCAGAGGTACCCCAAGGTCTCTAGGATAAGGGGCCTGCTATGGGGATGCTCGGGGCCCAAGTTTTTGAAGCGTGGTCAGAGGGTGGGGAGATCAAAGTGGATTTCTGGAAGGGCCCTCTGTCATCCTCAGGTGCATTCTTTGGGCCACGACTACCACTCTAGTTGGGGCAGAGGCACCCCAAGGTCTCTAGGATAAGGGGCCTGCTATGGGGATTCTCGGGGCCCAAGTCTTTGAAGCGTGGTCAGAGGGTGGGGAGATCAAAGTGGATTTCCGGAAGGGCCCTCTGTCATCCTCAGGTGCATTCTTTGGGCCACGACTACCACTTCTTTCTGGGCTCCTCCACCAGCCTGTCTCAACTCACCCCAGGGGTGGACTGGGCATGGTCACTGGCCTGTGATGTCATTGGCTGTTGGGTAGGTTTGCTGTTGGCTGTCTGTGGTCAGGTGCTCTCTATCCAATCAGCTGTGCCGTGGTGGCAGGATCAGATAGACCAGCATAGGTCTGCAGAAGACTGTCCATCAGTGTGTGAGTGGGTGAAGGGAGGCCTCACTGTGTAGAGGCCTGAGTGCTGGGCCTTATCCACTGTGGCTTGGCTGCCTGCCTGCTGGCCAGGTTCCGGGAGAGCCCCAAAGCCCTCCTCTCTCTTGGATGCCTCTCTTGTGTGTTGTACTGTTATGAGTGGGGGGTGTGACCATCACACTGCATCTCCAGGCCCTGGACCTCGGTCAGGGGGTGCTGGACGTGTTTGCCCTGTGACTGTGGGAAAAGGAGCAACATCATCTGGCTTAGGGGAGTGGGTGTTGCGTAACTCCCCCCAATTTACCTCCTCTGGCTGTACTGGCACAGATTTGAGATGGGGGCACTCACAGATGAGCCAACTTCCTTGAGTGTCTAAGTAGCTGCTGAGTGTTTGTTGACTAAGTAAATGTCCAAGCACTCACATCCTGCCTCCAGTAGCTGGTTGGATTGGACACAAGCTCTCCTGAGGAAGGAACCCCCACTGGATCTCAGTTGTTAAACAGCAACTCAAAAAGACCAAATAAAATAAATTAAAATAAAATAGCAACAGCAGTGGCTCAGTGGATAAAAAGCTTACTTGCACAGCATGAGGACCCAAATTGAGATTCCCCAGCACCCACATAAAAAGCTAGGGTGGTGGTACATGCCTGTAATCCCAGCCACTGGGGAGGTAGAGACAGGAGGATCCCTAGAGCTCAATGGCCAGCCAGCCTAGCTGAATTGGTGAGCTCCAGGTCCAGTGAGAGGCCCTGTCTCAAAAAATAAGGCGTGATGATGCAGGTCATTAATCCCAGCACTCGGGAGGTAAAGGCAGGAAGATCTTTGTAAGTTCAAGGCCAGGCAGGGTTACAAAGTGAGACCCTGTTTCAAAAAAAAAAAAAAAGTGAAAGTTGATAGAGGAAGACCCCCAACGGCCACCTCTGGCCTTTGCACACACAGCAGGCACCGTGGCACGCCAGGCATTCATGAACACATACACACACGTAAATAGCAACAACAATACCAATAGCAGACGTAGCTCACCATTAAACCACACCTAATACAGGAGATCTGAAATAAAAGTGTGATAAAGGGCGTGGGGAATGGTTTAGCAGCGGGAAAAGATGCTTGCCACCAAGCCTCAGGACCTCAGTTCTATCCCCAGGACCCATGTGGTGGAAGGAGAGAACTGGCTGCTGTAAATTGTCCTCCGACCTCCACACAAGCACTGTGGCACTCACCCCCCCACCCCACCTCAACACACATACACATACATTAAATAAAAAAGTAATTTCAAGTCAGGCATGGTGGTGCATGCCTTTAATCCCAGCACTTGGGCAGGGGATCTCTGTGAGTTCAAGGCCAGCCTGGTCTACATAGTGAGTTCCAGACCAGCTGTGGCTACAGAGAGACCCTGCCTCAAAAAGACCAAAAACATTTTTTTATTTATTATTTTTGTTTTGTGTGTATGAGTGTATTACCTATATGTATGTAAGTGCACTATATGTATACATGCCGTGCAATGCCCGCAGAGGTCAGAAGAGAACATTAGATTCTCCTGGAACTGGAGTTATGGATGGTTGTTAACCTCCATGTGGGTGCTGGGAATTGAACCTGGATCCTCTGCAAGAGCAGCCAATATTCTTAACCACTGAGCCATCTCTCCAGCCCTCCTGTTTCTTTCTTTCTTTTCTCTTTTTTTAAATTTTATTATCTAGGCATGGAGACTACAGGGAGACCCTATCTCAAAAAAACAAAAAACAAGCCAGGCGTGGTGGCGTATGCCTTTAATCCCAGCACTCAGGAGGCAGACGCAGGCGGATCTCTGTGAGTTCCAAGCCAGCCTGGTCTACATAGGGAGTTCCAGGCCAACCAGGGCTGCATAGTGAGACAAACATGAAACAGAGAAATTGAACTGAAGGTGGGGCCAGGCTCGGAACTCTAAGTCCCACCCCCAATGACACACTTCCTCCAGCAAGGCCACAGCTGAAGAGTCCATGACTACCCCAAATTGCATCACCAACTGGATGTGTATACCAAATATTCAAATACTCAAGCCTATGAGGGGCATTTCCAATTCAAACCAACACAGCTCCCAACCCTAGTCTTCCACCAAAGGACCTGTGGTCTTTGGTCAGGGTGACTGCACTGGGGAAGGGGAGATACGCAGATCCTCTGCGGACAGGGGACACTGGTTCTGAATGGACACTCATTCCTGGGGACCCAAGATGAGCCTCTATTCCAGACAGTGCAGGGGCTTATGGAGATCAGGGGACCAATGGGGTTTCAGCTCAGCTCTGTCTCACTCAGGGTCCGTGGGGGTCCCTGAACCCATCCTGCAGAATTCACAGTTGGGATAGATGATCTGGTCTGGGGAGCGGGATCCCCACAGAAGTCCCCTGTCCTGTGGTGTTAGGGTGTTGCAGTGGGAGAGGCTGAGTGTAAGCCACTGGAACTACCTCTTCCTTGCAAACAGGAAACCAGGAGCCCCACTGGCCCCCAAGAACATTGCAGAGCCAAGTATTACCACTGTCAAGGAACAGAAAAAAAGCAGGGTGGTGCTTCCCATCGCGTCCTCTTTCTGCCCTCCTGTTCAGCCTTGCAGAAGATGGGTGGATCTTGGAGGATGACATTGGCATCAGAGTGATGGAATCAAACTAAAGCCCCCCAGGTTAAAGTGGATTCAAACCAAGTCCCCCAGACCAAAGAAGAATATTCAGAACAAGGAAGTAAGAAGTAAAATAATTCTAACTGCTGAGAAAGAGCTGACCTTTTCATGCTCCATACACAAGCCGGACATCACCCAAAACTTCCCCTCTCCTACTGCTGCCGGCCCCCTCCCACTGCTCCCCTGCCACTGCTGCCGGTTGTAGTTTGTGGTTTCTGCCTTTAAAAATTGCCTGTAAGCTGAGCTTGGGGCTGCTGTTCTCTCTCTCTCTCTCTGAGTGAGGCAGGAGCCTCATCTGCGCAAACGATTAAATCCTCTTGCTTGTTGCATCTCCTGGTCTAAGGACTGAGTTATTGGGGTGCAGCCTCCCGTGGATGTTGGGTACCCCAGGGGGGGGGTCCTACATTTGGGGGCTCATCTGGGATTCTGTTGCCCCCAGACTCATTTCCTCAGATCAGTAGGAGGTAAGGACGTCTTCTAGTTTGTCTTGGTCTTAATGTCTGTAAGTCATTTCTTGTATTTCTTGTTCTGGGAATGTTCCGTCTGAACAATTGTGCCTGTGCAGGACCTGTAAGTCTGTATTCTAGAAACCAGTGGGAGTGGCAGACGTGCCCAGAGGCCCCTGGTTCTGACACTCTGACCTTAAGGACCGGAGTGGTCTGGAGTGGGGAAGACGGTGTCGCCTTCCTTCCCCCAGGAGAAGAAGGGAGTTTGGCTTGGCTACTCCCCTCCCACTCTGTACTTTCAGTTCTCGAGTTAAGGGACGCGCGCCAAGAAATTCTCTGTTCTGTGTATTGTCTGTGTCTGTGTTCAGGGATCCCAAAAGTGAAAATAGATCAATCGCTAACTACCCCTTTAAGCTTAAATCTAGAACACTAAAAAAAGGTCGTGGAGAGGGCCCACAACTTATCATTGGAGGTCCAAAAAAAAAAGTGGCAGAGTCTCTGTTCCTCTACATGGCCCTCTTTTGAAAAAAGATGGCCAAGGGATGAGACTTTTGACCTTGCTACTATCTTACAGGTTAAGGAATACATTTTCCACCCAAGACCACACGGACATCCGGACCAGGTGGCCTACATAGTCACCTGGGAAGACTTGGCCCAGAACCCCACATCTTGGGCATGGCCGTTCCTACCTCCTAGAGGAACTGAAGAGACTGACCAGGGGTCTCCTGTCCCTTCTGCTCCCCTAAGTCTTACTTCTTCCCTCCTGCCCCTTCAGTCTGCCCCTGAGAAGAAGTAAAAGCCAGTCCTCCCTGAGGACCAAGTTTCCCTAACCCTCCTTAATCCTCCACCTCCCTATCCACCTACGCAGGCACCTCCACCCCAAGAACTACCTTATCCCTCTCCTGATTATTCTGAACCTGACAAATCCCCTCCTCTACCTAATAGACTCCGCTTAAGGAGAGATAGAGGGGGCCCTTCTAATGGAACCTGGACTGCCTAGGTTTTTCCCCTCCGAACTACAGGGGATCAGATCCAGTACTGGCCTTTTTCAGCCTCTGATTTGTATAATTAAAAGACTCATAACCCCTCTTTTTCTCAGGATCCTCAGGCTCTAACTGCTTTAATAAAGTCTATTCTCCTCACCCACCAACCCACCTGGGAGGATTGTCAGCAACTCCTCCAGGCCCTTCTAACCACAGAAGAAAGACAGCGAGTCATCCTGAAGGCCCAAAAAAATGTCCCCGGGCAGAATGAGAGACCCACTCTGCTCCCAAATAAAATAGACACAGGATTTCCTCTGACCAGACCCAACTGGGACCCTAAAACCGTGGCTGGTAGGGAGCGACTCAGACTCTGTTAGCAGGTCTCAAACGGGCTGGAAGGCGCCTGACCAATTTGACAAAGGTACATGCTATAGCCCCCCCCAAAAAATCAAACCCCCGCAGGGTTTCTAGAACGCCTGATAGAGGGATATCGGATGTACACCCCTTTTGATACCACAGCCCAGGAGCATCAGGCAGATCTTATTATGGCCTTTATAAGACAATCAGCTCCTGACATTCGTGGTAAGCTCCAACGGCTGAAGGGCCTTCAGGGGTACTCTTTACAAAATTTAGTAAAAAAAAAATAAAAAATTAAGTCAAATTTTGACCACAGTAGTTCAGGAAACAGGACCAGAACCAGGTAAGAACCTGAGAGACAAGAAAAGGCCCCAAGTAGATAAAAGACCAGTGTGCCTATTACAAAAAGAAAGAACATTAGGCTCGAGAATGTCCGAAGAAGAAGGGCCTTCAGGGGTACTCTTTACAAAATTTAGTAAAAAAAAAATAAAAAATTAAGTCAAATTTTGACCACAGTAGTTCAGGAAACAGGACCAGAACCAGGTAAGAACCTGAGAGACAAGAAAAGGCCCCAAGTAGATAAAAGACCAGTGTGCCTATTACAAAAAGAAAGAACATTAGGCTCGAGAATGTCCGAAGAAGCTAAACAGACTTCAAAAAAAAAACCCCAGTCCTGACTCTAGAGGACTAGAAAAGTCAGGGCCAGGAGCTCCCCCCTGAGCCCAGGGTAACCTTAAAGATAGGGGGGCAATTAACTACCTTCATGATAGACACAGGAGCTCAGCACTCGGTCCTGACAACAATTAAGGGACCTATGAGTTCCAAAACAGCCTGAGTCGTCCAAGGGGCCACCGGAAAAAAAACATAAATAAACCACAAAAAAAAAGTAGACCTCAGTACAGGATGAGTCTCTCACTCATTCTCATTGGTCCCCAACTGTCCATACCCTCTTCTTGGGAGAGATTTACTCTCTAAGCTGGGAGCCTACATCCACTTCACTACAAAAAAAGCTACTGTAAAAAAAAAAATGAAGCTCCACTACAAGGTATTAACCTTGTGGCTAAAAAATGAACATCGGTTATATGAGGGACCGATAACAAAAATTCCTGGTATATCTGATTGGCTAAATAAAATCCCCTCGGCATGGGCCGAGACAGGAGGCCCAGGACTAGCATACAACCAGCCTCCAATAGTGGTTACACTAAAACCATCTACAACTCCAGTTTCAATCAAACAATACCCTATGAACAAAAAGGCCCGAAAAGAAATCAGGTCCCACATCCAAAGACTTTTACAAATGGGCATACTTCACCCTTGCCAATCCCCTTAAAACACCCCGCTGCTCCCCATGAAAAAGCCAGGGACAGATGATTATAGACCAGTTCAAGACTTAAGAAAAGTCAATCAAAGAATAAAAGATATCCATCCCACTGTCCCTAATCCCTATAATCTTCTGAGTTCTTTACCTCCTAGTCATAGATGGTATACTGTACTTGACCTGGAGGATGCATTCTTCTGCCTAAGGCTGAGCCCGGTTAGCCAGCCCATCTTTACTTTTAAATAAAAAAACCCTGAAGCTAAAATATCGAAACAACTAACCTAGACGCGACTTCCCCAAAGATTCAAGAACTCCCCTACTCTGTTTGATGAAGCTCTACATCGTGACCTGGCTAACTTTCGGAGACACATGGGACCAGAGAAGACCTCACCGACCAGCCCCTAACAGATACAGATGCCACCTGGTATACGGATGAGAGCAGCTTTCTGCGAAACAATAAACGTGAGGCGGGGGCAGCGGTGGTCAATAAAAAAATAATAATTTAGGCTCAAGCCCTGCCGGCCAAAACTTCAGCCCAACGGGCTGAATTAGAAGCCTTAACCCAGGCCCTAAAAATTAACAAAAGACAGAAAGGTCAACATTATCCATTGCCCTGGACAGCAGCGAGACCAGGGGCCGATTGCTCGGGACAATCGGATGGCAGATAAAACTGCCCGTCAGGCAGCGAAAGATACTTGTATTCTCTACACCCATTCAGACTTTGAGACTAAAATTAAAACATAAACAAAGAAGATTATGTCTCATGTTTCCTGGTAAATGCTATCAGATCAAAGGTCCCATCTAGTAAGAAAAAAAAAGAAACACGACCAGGGACTAATTGAAAAGTAAATTTTATTAAGGTCCTCCCAATGGTTATAAATATCTTTTAGTGTTCATAGACACTTTCTCAGGGTGGGTTGAAGCTTTCCCCACCCGGAAAGAGACAGCCCAGACTGTAGTAAAGAAACTGATTAAAAACATCTTCCCTCGATTCGGACTGCCTAAGGTAATTGGGGCTGATAATGGCCCAGCCTTCGTCTCCCAGGTAAGTCAGGGAATGGCCAAAACACTAAAGATTAATTAAAAATTACATTGTGCTTACAGACCCCAGAGTTCAGGACAAGTAAAAAAAAAAAAACTATTTAAAAAACCTTAACTAAATTAACTTTAAAAACTGGCACTAAAGACTGGGTACAGCTCCTACCTCTAGCTTTATTTTGTGCTAAAAATACTTCTGCTATACACGGTCTAACCCTCTACAAAATTTTTTTTGGAGGGCCACCTCCTGTTCTCAGTGTAACTTTGTCCCCCTTGCCCTCTTCTTTTAATAACCCCAGCTTGAAAACAAGACTCTTAAACCACAATAAAAAGGACCCTACACGGTTCTCCTGACTACGCCCACAACCCTCAAAGTCCTACATGCATAAACCACTCTGACTGGGAATTAGACAACTCCGACTAGAAATTAGTCGCTATCATCCTCATCTCTGTGGCCTTGATCATCCTTGTTGCCATCATCACATTGGTACTCACTGACCTTGCTTAAAAGCTATAACACAACTTCTTACAATGCAGCTGATTCTACTTCTCGGAGAGACTGCCTGCTCCTGACAGCGAGATGCCTGCCGGTTTATTCAGCTCCGCTGTACAATCCTCATGTGCCTATGCAGCTGACATGGATGGTGACAAATCCTGAGACGGGCCATACACTTCGGCTTGCCAACTCCACCACCTTAAACATTCCAGTCTTAAACTTTTCTGCAGCCGGTCAGACTAAAATTAGCCATCCAGATGCCACGAGTCCGATGCTGCAGGTGTTACAACAGTCATTCTTGTTCCTTAATGTCACTAGACCTAAAACCACTCGAACTTGTTGGTTCTGCTATGATGCTTCGTCTGCACAAACGATTAAATCCTCTTGCTTGTTGCATCTCCTGGTCTGAGGACTGAGTTATTGGGGTGCGGCCTCCCGTGGACGTTGGGTACCCCAGCCTGGGGGGGTTCTACAAGAGCTTACCCAACCGTGTGTGCAGGTGCT